TCAGCAGGACTGAGTCATCCCTCTCTTCTATCTGGCAATTGAGAAGGAAGACCTTCATCCCATTGCCTGGATGGCAACATGAAGTATTAAAACACATTTGTAAATGTTAACGCCAAATGCAGCTTTAGTGAGCAACTCCCAAGCAGTGTAACCAGCTGAGCACCACAGGTCCCATCTCTCTGAGGTGTCCTTATTCCCGCAGAGCTCAGCCCTTCAAGGACAACGCCGGCATGTGATACAGAGAGATACGGTTCTTCCATCAGGGTTATAAAAGGGCTCTGCATAAGCAGTTGGGACTTCTAAAATAAGTGAGAAAAATCTGCTCAAGGGCTTGATATGCCCATTTTAGCTGCAAGAAAAAAGCTCTCCCATTTGGTTAAATTGTCAGGGGAAGGGGCATAAAACTACCTCTGGGCTGTAGAGCCTCTTGGCTTGTTGAGGGTATATAGGGAGCAACTCTGGCTGTTCCGTACTGTGTCAACTCCCAGCAGCCTCAAGGGAAGAGACATGTCCAGAGATTTTCAGTGTATGAAGTGTTCGCAGGACACAGTCCCTACAAGATGAACATGTGCTGTGAGGACATTTGCACAGACAGCTATTTGTTAAGGGCAGTGTAAATTTATGTTGCTGTAAAAATAATAATGAGGGAAGAAGAAAATGTTGTCTGTTCATCAGCATCAATTAATAGATTTCTGGTAGTATGTAGTAAATGCACAAAATAAGAGCAATAGTGTGTTGGGAAGTCCCAGGAGAGACCGGTGAAATTTAGTGCCCCAGTGTGAAGGCAGCTCCCAATATATGTACTTGTTTCATCATCACAAAGTCCAGTTACAATGGCTTTTCCTGATAAATCCAGTTGCTGAAACTCAATTATCATAATGATCCCAGGGAGAAAAGGTTGCAGCGAGTACTGGTTAGCTCCTAATGCAACAGAAACATCTCCCCCACAAAGCACTAGATCCATCAGTGATGAAACGTATGTGAGCTAGGCTGTGACTGCTCCCCAGCAAGCCAAACCACCAAACCCTTTCTCTGTCAACTCCCTGAACCATACTATCCTGATAAAAAACACAAAACTCCTCTCTAAGCACTCTGCCCTTTCAATCTTAACCACCTGGAGATCTAGCTACTTCACATACCATTATCTGTACAAGTTTTATCAGCTCAGTGGGGTCAGGTCCTTAAGGAACCCAAGATCCTTCCCCCCCGACAAGTGGCTGCGAAGAAAACGTGTTCAATTTGGATTTGGGTGGAGACCTTGCAAAGCAACTAAGGGAGCTTGGTACCTTTGAGCACCAATTTTCAGCTAGGCTGTTACCCTTGCTGGGAAAAAAGCTGCTGTGGCCAGTTTGCAAATTCCCTCATGGGGTTTGCAAAGCGAACAGTCATGTAACATCCTTGGTTTCAGGTCAATGCTCTCGCCGCAGAGCTCTGCCAAGCAGGACAGAAGCAGCACAGACCTAGCCATGGTGGTTTCCAAAGAGTGTGGGAGTGGCTGACAGGTCTCAGGGTGACAACGCTGAATGTGAGGGCTGAGTATTCAGGACTTTGGAGTGAGTCCAGGATACTCCAGGACTTGGAGGAACGGCTGGGGGGGGGCCGGG